ATAAATACAATGACCTCTATGAAGTTAAAATGTGTTCATCAGCCATTTGGGTTGGATTTCGGTGAAATGTAAACACCAAAAAGGCGCGCCGGGTATCTTTATTATTTTATTAGGTACTACAACGGTAATAAAAAGAAATATATTATTTTTAATATAAATAAAAAGAAATTGGCAGAAGGATGGTTCAGAAAACAGAAAAAGAATCTGGTATTCCACTTTGTTAGTTTTTTGTTTGCTTTGAGTGAATATACTCTTAAAAGTTCCGAAAGTAACGGGTATAACATGGCGGCTATTGATAGTTAAAGTACCGAGTTATTACAGATATTAAAAAGTAACGAAAATTTACATACAGTTTCATAAATCGCCGACTGATTTTAGTTTTAAAAACCGTCTGTATAGAGGTGTCCGGTGAAGAGACGTGTCCGTTAAGAGAGAGTTTAGTGTAGTGTATTTGTTTGTAATGGTGATTAGGAGAATAAGAGTAAGTTTTTTTGTTTTTTTAATACTTATTGAATATTCGACTAAATAAATTAAACTATTTAATCACTTAAGTATTGTTACACTTCGTTTAAATCACTTAATTCAAAAACCAACTTGTTTACAATACTAAAGTCAATGAGTGTAATACGAGTATACTTCAAAATCTGAATTACAACTATTCTATAAACTATCAATTCTATATTTAGATCACAACTTCATATTTAAATCTAAGGTGTATATCTGTCATAACAGTATTTTAAAAATAGGGAGAATTTACCATTGTACAATTCAGCACATTGGACCATTTAAGTCGACACTTTAAAGCGAATTTAAAATAGTCGTATATTCGTGGAATGGAGTATATTCTTTCTTCATTCCAAAGAAAGATCAATGCCAGCTCGGCACACAATACAAGACTAATGATGAATTTTTAAAAGTGAAACTGGAACAAACCATGAAGTGGAGATATCCAGGAGTGGCTAGTATACCTGTTGAATACAAAGCACGTGGTGTTCGTGTGTATTGAGGTATAAAAAAGCGCTTATTAAAAGCTTAAAATTTTTTATTATAAAGAAGATCTTTTCGGAATTGTATCATTCCATCATCAGTTTAATAAAAAGTTGTTAAAAAACATTGTGTGGCCACATAAAAAACATTCGATGGACATCTGAATTTAAAAAATAATCTTCGTGTTATTTATTCAGGTAAATGCAATAGACTCTTAAATTGTGTGATATTAAAAAATGAAACTGGGGCATCTTATATGACCCCCTGTAGTTGGTGAGGTTTTATTGACTTACATTACCTCTGATCTGTTAGCCCTAGACTCCAACACAGATCAGAGGTAATGTAAGTCAATAAAACCTCACCAACTACAGGGGGTCATATAAGATGCCCCCAGTTTCATTTTTTAATATCACACAATTTAAGAGTCTATTGCATTTACCTGAATAAATAACACGAAGATTATTTTTTAAATTCAGATGTCCATCGAATGTTTTTTATGTGGCCACACAATGTTTTTTAACAACTTTTTATTAAACTGATGATGGAATGATACAATTCCGAAAAGATCTTCTTTATAATAAAAAATTTTAAGCTTTTAATAAGCGCTTTTTTATACCTCAATACACACGAACACCACGTGCTTTTTACTAATGATGAAGAAAAGAAAAAGCAATTACAGACGCAATAAAGAACACGTAGCTCGAAAAGAAGATTGCTACACAGCAAAAGCAAGAGAAAAAGCTAGAGCTATGAAAGAGGAGAAAATGCTACATTTGACTTGCAATGCGTGCTTCAAATACCGAGTAGTGACTTGAGTCCAATGTACTAGTCGAAAAATTTGCACTTATAATTTGACAGTGTATGAGCTAGCACCGCCAAATAATGCATTATGTTGTAGCTGGACAAAGGGGTAGCTTAGAAATTGGCACCTGCCTCTTTACTTATATTAATGAGCTTCCCACTAGTGTAAATGCAGTATCAGAGTTTTCCGACACTTGCAGTAGCGCTTTGTTACTCTATTTGGTTCAAAAAAATCCCAAATTGATGATTACAGAGCAAAAGTTTCTGGAAAATGGACACAGCTACATAGAAGTGGACAGTATGCACAGTGCCATTGAACGAGCCCAGAAGTATGTTTCTGTGTACACAATGCATTATTGGCTAACAATGTTTCGCATGGCCAGAACAACATCATCAAAAAAGAAAACGTTTGTTGTGCAGGAACTCAAATATAAAGATTTTCTTGACTTAGAAGACCTTTCTAAGCTTATTAAAAATAAAACGAGAGTCATGAAAAACGAAAAGGTAACCTGGTTAAAAGTTACGTGTTTTCTATACCAAAAGGCTAAACCAGGAATCCTTGAGTATAGGTATGATCATAACTCAGAATACAGAGATAAACGTTTTTGTGAGAAGTCAAAAATTACCTAATTTGAAAGAAATAACGCTTAAGGACGCGTATACGAAGATGCGACCTATAAGTTCCAAAAAAAAACAAGATTTGTTGAAGTTGTGCAAATCGGGTGTGATTCCAGATGAATTTCACTCATATTATTATAATTTACCATCCTCCGACGATGTTCAAGACAATATTTCTGAACCAGGAAGATAGTGATCCTGAAGTTCAAATTTAAGTTGAAGATACATGCCAATCAGTTCAGGCAAAATAGGTTAAGTACAGTTTTTTGCATTTTTTAACATTTCCTAATTTTTTTTCCGATTTTTGGCGTTAATTATCTTCACAGTACCACAATCTGTTATTTTATCAGTTATTAAATGTTTTTTTTTTTATGTAGTTGTTTTACTGTAGGCTTAAACTTTTAAACTTGATTCTCACAAAATGTAACTTATCTGGTTTTGGCAGCATTTGACAAACAACATCAGCAGAACAACACAATAACAGATATGTTTTCTCGGCCAGATGAACTGCACCAATGACAGATATTTTTCTTTTAGAGGCGATTTCTACAAACAAATATCTGGAACACCAATGGGTTCTCCCCTTTCCCCTGTCATTGCTGACATTTTCATGGAAGCCTTTGAGTCTTTAGCCCTAGAATCTTACCCCTTAAAACCAAAAGTCTGGTTCCGCTACGTTGATGATACATTTATCATCTGGCCCCATGGTCAACATACCCTTTCTCCCTTCCTAGATCATCTTAACTCACAACATCCGAGTATAAAATTCACAATGGAAGTAGAAAATAACCGGTCCCTTCCCTTTCTCGATGTGTTAGTCACCTCCAAGCCCAATGGCCGGTTGGGTCACTCTGTTTATAGAAAAAAGACTCACACGAATCGTTACTTACATGCTTCATCACACCACCATCCTGCCCAAAAGAATTCTGTGATCAACTCTCTCATCCATCGGGCCATTTCGATTGCTAAACCCGACAACCTTAGAGAAGAACTTGGCCATCTGCAAAAAACCCTTGTCGCCAACGGTTACTCCCAAGTCCACAATTCAAAATATTACACACCGACATCTACATCCCCCTTTACACCCTAGGACGACAAATTCAGAATCTTCGGGTAATACTCCTGTGGCTTTTCTTCCGTATATTCGAAATGTCACTGATAGGATTGGCAAAATTCTTCGCAAAGAAGGTATCAGGACTACTTTTCGACCACCCAAGAAAATCTCACAATATCTACCCTCTCCTAAGGACCCATTACCGCCCCTATCTTCCTGTGGTGTCTATTATATTCCTTGTTCATGTGGACATGTGTATATTGGCGAAACTGGTCGTTCCGTCAAAACTCTGATTCAAGAGCATCAAAGATGCATTCGATCAGGTCTTTCCTCCCATTCTGCAGTTGCAGAACACTGCCAAGAAACCGGTCATTCCATATTGTTCGAAAAAACCCATATTATTTCTAAGAGCCCCTTCTTTTATTCCAGGAAAATCCGCGAATCTCTAGAGATCCGAAAAAATCCCCATAATATCAATCGAGAGGAAGGATACTACTTGTCTCCCATCTGGAATCTCAGTCTAGAGCCGCCGTCCGGTCCCGCTACCACGATGCAGCCACATGATTGGCCAGCGCGCGCTTCTTGACGTTCGCGCCACGAAGTGTGCCGATACGTCCCGACACGACAGGTCACCGCGACTATAAATAGAGCGGTAGCGGAGTAATCGTCGGATTCACTCCCCGCCTCTCGACGCGTTAGTGTTCTGAGCTGTTGGACGTGAATCCCTGTCCTGGCATTTGGTTTTCACCTCTGGCTGCGTTGAGTAGTTGAGTTACTGTGACCAAATGCCCATCTTGGTAGTTAGTATTCGCCTCTGGTTGCGTTGAGTAACTGAGTTACCGTTGCTAACTACCCATCTTCCTGTCTTTTTTCTTTTTCTTTGTTCTCCTGAAGAAGCTACATACAATTGTAGCGAAACGTCGAGATGAACCCACTTTTGGGTCACTCACAAATGACACGGTCCAAACCCGGAAGACGAATAAACTATAATTCTGACTCTGGCCGTGGAAGCCTACGATTTCATTTGCACCAATGACCTTTGTTGTACTAGAGTGATGGCAAAATGACGTCTCGCCGCAATTAAATATCTGTTCTGGTTACCCCTTAAGGTTTAGTTCTTCCACTAGTATGTTAATACTTCAAAACCATTATAGATGACTCTAGGATTCACCTGATCGCCTCTAACATGTTCAATACTCGTAGGTTTCTTTATTGATGGTGCCTAGTTTTAAATGATCTAAAGCAGTCAGGGTCTGGTCTTTGGTCTTTAAATCTACTCTTGATATTATTCTTCAATCATGCTTGCTATTTCACAGTACATTGTTCTTTCTGAGGAGTACTTCTTCCCAACCCTGGTACTGTTTCTTGCCGGGTTTTCTTTTTAAGTAGGCTAGTAGCCAGTAAGCTATCTTTATACATGTGTTGAATTTCTTAAAATTTTATTAACAGGTGTATAGAAGACTTATAGTGTCCTGCAAAGAATTTGATTTTTTGGTTAGTTCTAAACGGGAGGAAGAAACAGAAAGAAAATACTACAACAAATAAATTAGTTATTTAATAAAATTAATGTATTGCAAAAATACATTTACATATATTACAATAAAAAAGGCTGAATGTATACACGATAACATTTGAAATGCTGGAGTTTTCATCTGACTTATCACATAGCAGAAAAGGCAATTTTTCAGTACATTTTTTGCACAATTAAAACAAATTATGTATATGTAATGAATAGTCTTCATGCGTTATTCTAATAATATTTTTCTCATGTTAACCAAAACAAAATCAGTCAAAGTTAAAATATTAAAGTCTTATAAATACTATATGGCTATTTAAAACTGTAAATAATCTAGAGATTGAGTGTCACCAGAAGAGTGGGTTTCGTTATTAATTTTGCATTAAAATAATTTTGATTTGTGATAATTCAGTCAACAAAGAACTTTTCAACGAATATTTAAATAAATAGATAAAAAATAAATAATGATGAAAAAAATCAGTATTATTTTTTGACACTCTGTATCTTTATTAGACACTCTGTATCTCCCTAACTACATAAGTAACCACCTACATTTAGATCGTACCACGTTTTAATATCACATGAATTGTCTTTTTATTTTTTTTTTCTTTTCGGATATTATCACTATACCTATAGATGTTTTATTTTTAAGAGTAGCGAGTATTTTTTATATGTTCTTTAGTTTCATTATTATCTGAATACATTTGTAGTAAAATATATAAGAGCTATTTAAAAAATATGTATTTTTATACAATTGACATAAAACCTTTTAAAAATATTTCTTTTAAGTCGAACAGATACACCCTAGGTAATACGAATCTGTATCTATCTATCTAATTAGCCTTCTTCGGTCCATCTTTGGACATAGGCCTCCCCAATCTTTTTCTATTCTTTTCTGTCTGTCGCTACAGTCATCCACCTAGAGCCCACGTGCTTCTTGATATCATCTGCCCATCTCATTTGGGGCCTTCCTCTGCTTCGTTTATATTCCCACGGTCTCCAACTTATAGAATTTTGTTCCATCGGTCTTCTTTTTGTCTTATATTGTGTCTGGCAAATCTCCATTTCAATTTTGCAACTTCTTGTCTATCATCCCTCACTTTTGTTTTCTCTCTTATCAACTCGTTTCTCTTTTTATCCATTAGTCTTATGTACTACATTTGTCTTTCCATTGCTCTTTGGGTTTTTATGATTTTGTCCATGTTGTTTTTGTAAATGTCCACGTTTGGGAACCATAAGTAAGAACAGGGAGTACGCATTGATTGTATACTTTGGTCTTAAGATGCTGTGGATATCTTTTGTTTTTAAGAATGTAGCTTAGTTTGCCAAATGCCGCCCATGCCAGTCTAACTCGTCTTTTTATCTCTGCTGTTTGGTTTTCTTTGTTAAGTTTTATAGTTTGACCCAGATATATACAATCCTGAACTTGTTCTATTTCATCTTGTCCGATTCTCATTGTGATGTCTTCATCTGTATTTGTTATGGTTTTGGTCTTGCTGTAATTCATATTAAGGCCTATCTTTCCAGCTTCTACGTCCAGTTCTTTCATCATTTCAAATAATGCTTCTTTTTTATCGGGTATCCATACGATGTCATCAACGTACCTTAGATGGTTCAAGCGTTATCCACAAATTTTTATACCTTTTTCTTCACATTCTAATCTTTTAAAAGAATCTTCCAGAGCCTGATTGAAAAGTTTCGGTGATATTGTATCACCCTGTCTCACGGCTCTATTTATTTGTATTGATTTTGTTCCTTCATATACAATTGTTGTTTTGGCTTCCTTAGATATATTAGCTATTAGTTCCATATATCTGCGGTCAATTCTGCTGTTAATCAAAGAACTTTTCACTTCCCAATGTTCGACACTGTCGAAAGCCTTTTCGAAATCTGTGAACGCCATATATAGAGTAAAGTGGTATTCATTTGCTCGTTCTGTAAGTATTTTCATACTTAGTAAATGGTCACTTGTGCTGAATCCTTTTCTAAAACCAGCTTGTTCTTTCTTTTCTCATTCTGATATGAGAAAATAAACAAGTTCCTTATTAATCCGGGCCTAAACTATAGGATTATAATTTTTAAAATGATTTGCATAAATCAAATAAACCATTAAATGACATTGGATATTACAGACCGAATAAACTTTTACTTATTCTTTTAAATGTTCCTAGGTGTGAATTACAAAAAATAATTTCTATTATAAAGTCACTATATACTGATGCGAAATGCAGCGTGACACACAATGGGATCAACAGTGACCAATTCGACGTACTTACTGGAGTTAGACAGGGATGCGTGCTTTCTCCATTTCTTTTTAACATAGCTATAGACTATGTTCTCTCCAAACTAGACTCCGACACAAGAGGGATACAATGGATGTTAACCACACGCCTAAGCGATCTAGAATACACGGACGATATCTGCCTATTAGGTCAGAGGTTCCAAGATCTGGCCTACCAATTGGAAACACTTTCCACTGAAGCCAATAAAATAGGTTTGAAAATAAATATTAGTAAAACCAAGTCCATAAGAATAAATGCAAGGAACAACACGCTATTTACTATCGACAATATGCAGATTGACAATGTGGAAAACTTTACGTATCTTGGAAGTGTCATAACAGAAAACGGAGGTACAGAAAACAATATTCGTATGAGGATACGAAAAGTCCAACAAGCTTTCAGCACGCTCAACCCTGTTTGGAGATCTGGCGAGTATACTACAAGGACAAAGATTCCGATCAAATGTCATGTGTGTTCTACTCTACGGATGTGAAACCTGGAAAGTGACAAACACCCTCACAGACAAACTGCAGGTCTTTGTTAACAAATGTCTACGAAGGATTGTCCGTACATTCTGGCCTAACACCATCAGAAACGAAGATCTGCTACACCTGACCGAACAAAAGAGGGTATAAAATGAAATTAAGACCAGAAAGTGGGGTTGGATCGGTCACACACTCCGAAAAAATAGTTCCAGTATCGCAAAGACTGCCCTAGAGTGGAATCCCCAAGGGAAAAGAAAAAGAAGTCGCCCAGTACCAACTTGGAGAAGATCCATAATGGACGAGATAAGAGGCCAAGGAAAGTATTGGAATGAGGTGAAGGCCTTAGCGCAAAATAGAACCCGATGGAGCGTTTTCACTGAAGCTCTATGCTCCACTTAAGAGTTCAAGAACCTTATATATAGGTGTGAATTAATAATCTTACTTTTTCACTTATTTACATGGGCGAAGCATACACAATAAAAAGACCCCGGTAAGAATTTACTACTGACATTTAACATGGTTGCCGTTATCGTTTAGTTCAATTTGTAGATAAGTCACCTTTAATTGAAAATTGTCCGACTATAAAACTTTAGAGTAATCATAAAATAAAAAATATACCAACATTTTTAATTCCTTACTATTAAGAGTTTAATAAATATCATGAAAAAATTATTTCTATATAAATAGTAGTAGACAATATAAGTATTTTTACACTCAAATTCTATTCAAACAATATATAAAAATTTATATTGTTCTGAAGCTATTTTCTTGTGGAGTCTTAATACAATTTACTATTTTTACTGGAAATAAGACACAGTTTTACTTTAAAATAAGTTTATTTTTACGATTCGACTTCTATTTCGGAAACTGTTATCAAAATAAATTTGTATTTTGGGAATGATTTCCAGAATGGAAATCGAAACGACAAAATAAACTTATTTTTAAGTAAAACTGTGGCTTGTTCCCAATAAAAATATTAAATTAGAATTAGAATAAGAATTTATATAAAAAAATCGTCAAATCACACCGACTCCTAAGGAATAAAGAAGTAAACTCTCCATTGAGACTATATAAACTTTTCCATATAAATAACCATATATATCACGTTTGTTGTGCTTAGTAGAAATTGCATTAATTTTAAGAAAAAAATTATATGAAATATATTAAACATGTTAGCAACTGATATTTGGCTCTTAGAACATTAAAAAACTATGAAATAAAAACTCCAGAATCTTCTAAATGAATTAATCAACGATATTCACCAAATGGCCGTGAACTGTAGCTGATTGATGATACCTTCTCCTATTTGAAAAGTCTTCATTGTCTTCATTTAACTGAGAAGAGGTCACGTCCAGGCCAGGATGAACTGGAGTAACGATGATTTGTTCATAATCCGTGACACGCCTTCTGAAAAATCACAAACATAATAAAATTTAGAAATCAGGACAATTTGGAGGTAAGGTGTTATTAACACAACAATAGGATACCGATCAAAAACTTTTGTTGATAAAGTACTATTCCGCCTACCATCTTTCATCAATCTTTGGCTTCAATTGGCGCATGTCCAGTAACGAAACCTGTTATGACAGCTGATTCTTGCTTGAAAGAAGCTGCGGAAGGAGGGCTAAGGCCCATAAAAAAACAAGAAAACGTACCAAAAGTAGAGTGAACAGCAGAAAGTTCACTTACGATGCAGTAGTTCATAAGGGGCTACGTACCATCGTTCATAGCTTTGTTTTTAAAAATTTACCGCCGACATTGAACACTGGTTAAAAAAGAACGATTTAGCAAACATGTCACGCACAACAATGTGGAGAATACTCCACATGAAATGAACTTTGTTTTTTGCAAACGAGGAGTAAATTCAAGCATGATTGAACGACGTGATATTCTGAAATGGGGGCATCAGTATTGGCGTGTCATAAAAAAATTTCGGTCTCAGAATACACCGTCGTTTATTTGGACGAAACTTGGGTAAATGTTGGACATAGTGTATCCAAAGAATAAAAGGACCACAGGCCTAAATCAGCCAATATCACAAGGCCCTCGATTTGTTATAGTGTATGCAGGTAGCGAATTGGGCTTTGTAGAAGGTGCTGCTTTTTGGTTTTTAGCTAAAAAAACTCAGCGGACTATCATGATGAGATGGATGGTCCTTTATTTCAATAATGGTTTAAGGGAAAGCTGCTTCCTAATCTTCCAGAGAAAACTATTATCGTGATGGACAACGCTTCGTACCATTAGGGGAGAGGAGAAGTGATTACGACACAGGTCTTCAATAAAGATCCAATTAAGACATAGTTGTTAGAGAAAGATATCTTTTTGAAGAAGATTATTTAAAATCAGAGCTCATGGAAGTCATACAAAAAAAATACATAAAATATAAAATCGACGAGATGTGCAAAGAGAAAAATGTTGCCATTTTGAGACTACCTCCATACCATTGTGAGTTAAATCCAATTGAAACGGTATGGAGTCAAGTCAAAAGACATTTTTGGGTTATTGACGGGTTGATGGACAATATTGATCCTGTGGTAATAAATGTGACAGTTGACAGTGACAGTAATGAACGTGATAGCGATGATAGAGAAGATGAGGATGATGATGCCTCTTATGAGGCAAGAAGAATAAAACAAACGAGAAAGGAGAGACCGAGTAGAACTTGGACACAGCAGATATATAGGGAAAGCAGATATACGAAATTGGAACGAAGAAGAAAATCGATAAAAGAAAATAAACATATATCAAGGATAAGAAAAATGAAACAAATGGATAAACAATAGTCCTTTACTTTATTCACCAACTTTAGATTTGTACCATTCAGTTCTAGATGACCTAATCCGTTTGAATTCTTCTTTTTGGTATATTTCATGATTTTAAACTTCTAAAGAATGAAGTCTAAAATGTCATCTATGACAGTGTCATTAAATTTGCCATAGGTTAAGATAACCAGATTATCTGCAGAGCTCAGGTCATGATGTCTACTGCTGCTGAGTCTAGCTATGAACCTATCCATGAACGAGAGCGAAGATAAGGCTCCCTTGTGGACAGCTTTTGGCTACCTGTACTGAGACTATAGTCCCCGGTAATATTGTACTATATTTTTCGAACTTTCGACAAATACACCATCCCTAATATGCCGGTCGATTAGTTTCTCTATAGTCTTAAGTATAAATTACATCACACTTCTCGGCCTCGGGAACTTATTTTTTTCCTATCCAGTTTTGTCAGGTTTGGCTATAAAAGCTACATACCACATGATATACATACCAATAACAATTATTTAAAAGCAACTTGTTATAAAAATAGTAATATTTGATTCGTGAACTTCACTGAGACAAAGTGAAATGTTTTTGAAATTATTCGATTCTACTAAAATAGTCAAAATCAGAACATACTAAGCTACGAAATAAAATGTATATACGTACCCCATGCATCTGAGTATTAGACTCTTTAGCCACCTGAAGAAGTGGAACTCGAAGGCTAGTCCTGGTTTAACAGCAGGGTTGGCTGTTCCTATATACAGCCACACTAAAAAGACTACGCTCATGCAAGCCAGAGCATAGTACCAGTTAACTAACAGCATTATAACTATCTTTAAGGCAGCCTAAAAATAAAATCATTTTCTTTACAGAGCTTATCTTTTATATTATAATTAATAAATCAATTACAGATACTAATGTAATTATCAATCAATCTCTCTTCTGTACAGTACATTTAAAAATATTTGTCTGTGTTTTCTTTATTTCAATTACGATGTATTACGTGTTCCATCATTTAAGAATGAACATGACTAGTTCTGTGACTAAGAAATACTTACGCCAAATAAAGATAGCCATCTATTACACAAATTTGAATACCAGTTTTTCTGCTTGGAGTGAATATTGATTTTTGGTGCTATAGGTGTCTGTTCACTACTTTCTTCAGGACTACTTATTGAATTTGAACTCGATTCGCCCTAATAAAAGATAATATGTTTTTTTTTAATATATGATATATGAAAAAGAGGTCTAAAACATTTATTAACATTTTAGTTTATATGTAGCTAGCAGGTATTTTATAATAACGTAACCAGTACTTTGACTATTTTAAATGAAATACTTTGTACCTTTTTGTTCTATCAAGAAGTGTGTTTTTACTCTATTTTCAAAGATATATAAGCAAATAGAGAATATCTACAATTACAATAAAAATTAAGGTTTCAACTAACACCTAATTAGAATTAAGCACTTGCTAATCTACTCAGAGTCACTGTTATCACTAGTATCACTCGTATCTTCTAAATTTATAGTTAGTTTTGTTAATGCTGGTAAATAGTTAACATAGTCATTTTCCACTCCGATTACATATTTGATTACATTTTTCGGGTTGGTTGCTGTGATCTTTGTGAGTTCTCTTCTACTTAACTGGAAAACAGTAGACGAAAATTTAGGAGTCACGTTTCCTCTCCTGATGTTTCCTTAACTGAGTTTCCGAAGTTGAGTCCACATTAACTCTATTGGGTTCAATGTACAATAATATAGAGGAAATCTAAGCACGGTATTCCCAGTACTGCCTACTATGAGCAACCTCCAACAATTGCTTTTTACTATAAATGATACCTCAAAATACAAATCTTCCTCAAATAAAAATTCCTGAATTTGTAATTTGTTTCAAATTATATCTGAAATATTTCTCATTAATCTCATAAATAAAACAAGCTAAGGAAACATGGATGTTCATTAAATGTCAAAAAATTGAGGAATGTGAGGCAATGTGTGACACTTTTAACACCTATAAGAAGGTTAAAGACAGTAAATCGTAACAAATCAATCGGGACATTAACAAATGCAGATGGTACCATTATAACTGAAACCCAAGACAAATTACGTAGATGGAAAAAATACATTGAACACCTATTTTATGATCAAAAAGTAGAACAATTAGAAGTTGAAACACATAAAAGGTAGAACAGCTCCAGGACCCGATAATATTCCAATTGAACTATTGCAGATAATTGATGAAGATAATATTGATGTCTTGGTAGACCTTTTTAACCCCATATACAAGACGGACACATACCCAAAGAATGGCTTCTCTCAACTTTTGTAAAGATTCCAAAATGAAATTAGAACAAGAAATAAGTGATTTACAGATGGGTTTTAGAAAGGGTCTGGGAACTAGAGAAGCATTATTCGGAGTCAATGTTCTGACACAGCGATGTCTGGATATGAATCAGGACATATATGCTGGCTTCATAGATTTTAAAAAAGCTTTTGACAGAGTTAACCATGAAAAGCTTTTAAGTATTCTTAAGACCAAAAACATAGAACGTAGAGATCTACAAATTATATCGAATCTGTATCAAAATCAGAAAGCAAGAATAAGAGTCGAAGGAGAACTGACAGAGGAAGTAAGTATACTTAGAGGAGTTCGACAAGGGTACATACTTTTACCACTCATGGAAGATCTACAGTACATAATACAACATGTATACAATGCATGTGAAAAGTACGGACTGCAAATGAATCTTAAGAAAACGAAATCAATGATATTCTCAAAAAAACCACAAAATGTAGATAACCTGATCATCAAGAATACAAAGATCGAAAGAGTAACAACATATAAATATTTAGGAACCTGGCTAATCGAAGATAGAGATCAAACAAAAGAAATCAGATCTAGAATAGAAATGGCAAGAAACACGTTCATAAAATTGAAGAATTTTGCAACCGTAACCTTAATCTAGAGATCCGCACAAGAATGCTACGTTGTTACGTTTTTTCTACTTTACTATACGGCATGGAAGCGTGGACAATAAAACAGTCTGAAATCAAAAAATTAAACTCCTTTGAGATGTGGTGCTACCGGAGAATCCACAGAATATCGTGGACTGAAAAAGTAACTAATATAGAGGTTTTACAAAGAATGTGAAGTCATAAAAACTGTTAAAATTAGAAAGATTCAATATCTGTATTGAGAGATATATTATAGAGAAAACTACTCTCTCTATATTAGAGAGAGTAGTTCGGTTGCAGATCATTAGAATTATTCATCAGCGCAGACAAAAAAATTAAAATAGCGATGATGATTTCCAACCTCCGATAGGAGAAGGAAGCTGAAGAAGAAAAAAACTTATTTGAGTAAACTAGGTAACATATTTAGGTAGCACACACTAAAATTAGATTTTTAAAACCATGAAATATTAAAAAAGGTTTCGCATACACTGCGCCTATTTTGTACAGGTTAGATTAGATTAGGTACTTACCCTGAGATTTTTATGTCTTGTGCGTTCAGGAAACAGTCTATCCAAATCACTGTCTTCGCATAAAGTCTGCTGAACCCTGGGCCTGTGGAATCTCTGTTCCCTTTGATGTTGTATATCAAAAGTTTGTGCTAGCGCGAAGTAAGCATAGTCGATGCAAGCGTATGTTAATAGAAAAGGCATTGTTACTATGGGAGCTAATGTATTTATTTCCCCAATAAATATAAAAGTAAAAGTCACAATAGCTACTACAGCCATTGAATATAAGGGCACTTTGTTTGGTCCTCTCTAAAAATAAAAAAAAATTAAATCAATATACAGGGTGTTTCAAAAAAAGGTAACCCATCTCTAGGGTAGGTAAAAAACTGAAAAATAACTGGAGTTTGCTTAGTAAAAAATTTTTGTAACGCTATCCGTTTTCAAGATACAGAGCGTTGAATAAAAAAAAATTATGCATTTTTTACGATTTTGCCGAAACTACTGGCAACATTGTAATTTTTATACGAATATGTTTTGGAAGCTGATACATCCTATGAATTTGTTTTTATATCTGATTCTCATAGAGGGCGCTAGTTACACGGATCGTACTAAGTATTAGTCAATATAACTTTTTTAAGAGTATAATTATTAATCAAAATTTCAAGTAAACTTAAACATCATTCAATTTTACACGAAAAAGGTACTCTTGGTAAAACTCGATACTGTGTACCGTTTTTGGAATATTTTGATTTGAAAATTACGAAGTAATAATTGATGCTTACGATAACTTACCCCTTTTCCGAGTGATCCTATTCCAGGTATAACATTTTCTAACGCAATTGACTGTAGCACTCTAGGGGTGCCATACATAGCTCCTAAGCAACTTGACATAGATGACACATAAAGCCCGGCTAGAAATAAAACTCCAATGACAGATACATCTTCAGCTATCATAAAATTTGTTAAAAGAATAGCTCTTGTACACGTAGCTCCCAAGAACAATATAAAAACGAGGTAGAGAAAGGTTGCTGTTCCGATTGCAGCTAATGTACCGTTTGGGATGTTCGTCGATGGTGCTTTTAAGTCTCCACTCATGTTGATACCAGATAGAACTCCAGTTATTGTAGGAAAAAACACTCCATAAACTGTAAACCAACTGTACCCTTCGGTATAGTTGGACCACATATTTTTCTCCATATTGTCGCTGACCCAACCTTCCACACCTTTATCTGCAACAATAACATAAAATTCAAACTGAAAAGAATGACAAATTAGTATTAAAAATTGGAAAAAAACATTGTTATATTACATTAACATAAAAACTATTCGTGGTGATTAAAATAATGCAGTATATTTTTTGGCATACCTTCCTCTGTATGTACAAAGCTGCCAACCATAAAATCTAGCCCCGCGGAGAGCAATATCAACAACAGGATAAACTGCAGTTTAATAACCCATTTAACTCCTGCAACGTTAATGATGCTTAAAAGAAGTACAGCTGCTATGGCAACTAATCGTACAGCCCATTTTGAGTCACCAAGACCGATCAGTTCAGCCATTGACTCTCCAAAACCAAGAACATTGAGTGCACAACCAACGGCCTGCAAAAATAAAATTTTTTTATAATTTTACAATAATATATGGTGTTAAATATTCATTTTTTTTTGTGTTATTGAAGCTACTTTCTTTGACATTTTAATTTTTACTTAAGATATTGTTGGAAATTAACCACAAATGCAACAAAACATAGTTAATTTCTAATTTTCTGTCTACAAACAAGTATTTGAAGTTTATCAAGAACAGACCATGAGCGGAAACTATATGAACTACTAAAACAGTTAAACAATGGGGAATGAAGTATAAAAGACTCGGAAACAGCTAAAAATAAGGTGTAGATGGAAGCATAAAAGAATCAGAACAGGAGAACAACCTTTGGGATGACAGATTCCTGACAATTAAAAATTTAAAGCAATGAAAAGAGATGTAAGTATGAAGATCGATTAATTATTTTTTGTGTATATGTTACGAGCAATGTCCGAAATAGACATAATCGTCGGACTTTGTATAAACGAATTGCTGTACAATGTTCGAATTTCAATAAGTCGATAAGTAGCAATGCGTCAAAGTTTGGAAGAATATGACAGATATCGATTATTTTTATGATTATTCCCCATTTGATATTAAAGACAAACAAACATCAATTGCGATATAAATCCTAAATTAATCTATTAGTTAGTTGCGGAACTTGAAATATATTAAATAAAATTTAATTAAACTTCATTTATAAACTTAAAAATAATGTTTAATAAAATTAATTAATATTATATCGTATGCTCTTTCGCGATTTATTAAAACGACATGACAACACTGCCAAGTACAAAACTTTCCTTCATTTCTTCAACGGAACATTTTATATACCTACTTTTATCTATCACTCTATTGCAGAATAATTTCTTCGTATTATTTATATTTTAGTTTGAGACAGCATTTTATAACGATGTCTATTCGAAAAGGTACAACTTTGTATGTAAATAGAAAATAAAAAATATCAAATAATTAACAAGAAATGTTCGATTTTTGATTTGACGTGTCGCTTGTCAATAATAATCGATTCGAATCGATAAGCGTCTCGATAATCATTTTTAAATTTGATCATTTCGGACATTGTACAGTTTGGGGGTACAATGCTAGAAGTGGACAATAATTTCCGTACAATGTTAGGATTGTCCAATTTCGGGCTCGTAACATATATGTTTATATATATATATATATATATATATATATATATATATACGTATTAAACACTTTATGTATCGATTAGAAGCAAATGTAATCCTATAGTATTCTCTGCCAACGACAGAGAATATCATAGTATTACATTTGTTTCTGTCATTCATTAGAATAAGCTACTCGTATACTCATTGACAGGTTATTTATTAACTACCGATATACGAACGAAAATATTTCTAATCTCATCTTCTTTTCCAAGCTGTATCTGATGTTAGCAAAACCTTGAAATGCATTATGATTTGTCTTAAAAAAACTGTACATAATTTATTAACTTACCTGGCCAAAACAATATAATAGACCAAGTGATCCCCCGAATCTTGATCCAAGTGTATGTGCTATAACAAAATAGACGCCTCCAGACTCTATTCTACATCTTTCACATATTCCTACCGCTGAAAGCACTGATATCAAGGCAGTGAACACTAGAATTATAGAAAATGTTAAATATAGGTTTAAGTACAATAAGATTTAGGTAAGAAAAAAATCAAAACTAATGAATTGTTTTTATTTGTGCTCTTAAATATTATGTTTATATAGGATTAAGCCACGTTTGATTGTAATGAACACTACATTTGTAATTAACTAATGCTTGCTATTTCGATTTCCACTTCAGAAACCGTTTTTAAAAAGATTATTTTAAAAATTCTTAATTCTTAAGAGTTAATAATAATAGTCTGTCTCCGTTTACGTCACTACTGCAGTTTGGGCGTATAGCTTAGCTAGTGCCAAGCTTTAACCGCTTACTATTACCCTTAGTTCTAACCAAGGTACTCATTTTAATAAGGTTGAGTCGACCTGGAGCATTAAGATACAGAGAAAGAAAAATATTCCAAATATTCCATCGAAAAGCCTCTCGATGATGTGCACCATCTTGTATATTCCTTATTGAAAATTAGGGGAAGCTAGAACCGGTAAGAAAGGGTTGACATTTGATATATGCCATTATTGTTAAAATGTTATAACTTCCATCTTTATACTACCAGTACCTGGAGCTTCCCCATTAGGGCTATTCATTAATTTCCTGTTTCGTTGATTGGTCTAGCTCATTTTCTATCACCACATCCTCTCCTTACATATTTTTATTTCGTTCTTGACCCTCTTTGTTCTATTAATAGTTTTTTAATACATTCAGCCCATACATTTTATTGTCTTCTGATATTTCTTTCTTAGTTTATTCTTCTTTATATTCTCGTTTATACACTTAGCCGCATTTTATTATTTCAATCATCGTTTAAAGGCAGCTTCTTCTTTTTTGTATACAATAATATAAATACAAAAGTAATACAACGAACTATATCTACCTGAGAATAAAACTATAGAAATGCCACTAAAGACTCCAGCTTGTGCCACAATCCATCCTGATCGTAAAAATACTATCACACCAAATATGTTAATTAAGCAAGATGTGAAAACACCATCCCATGTTCCAAACAAAACCGGTTGGGATATAAAAAAGTTAGATTTCCACCAAGGCACATCTCCCTAAAGCAAAATATAATCATAAAAATACCAAACATATATTGCATTTATTTAATTATATTGATTACATTAAAAGTAACAGATGTTTTGAAAGCAAAATGAAATATTTTCTAAACAAAAATTTAAAAAGCTGTTTTGCAAGTACCTAGTCTCAGCTGTAGAACAATAATGGTCCTAAGATAACTTTATCGTCGATATCTCAGGAGCGAACATTTTCTTAGGAAAAGAATTCCCTGTTAGGGCTCAGTGACTTGATTTATGAGAAGACTTTCAATAAAACTGGTCACTACATGCTAAACTGCATTTGATTCTAATTTTTTAAGCATATTTGCATTAGGATTGAAGTTTTTATTCACTATACCTTCTTGAGGCTTTATCCAATTCAATTAACTCCGGTTGAAAGTATTCTGTAAATTATGGTTCAGAATAATACTAGGTTTCGAAAAAAAAAATCGGGTACATTTAGTAGGATTAGTTGTTAACTCTTTGCTAGGACTTGACTTTGTTGTCATTCGGCTTATACAATCGTCCATTCTACTCTTCTATTTCTTACCCAGTCCTTGATATTCTCCACTTTGCATCTATGTCACATATCTGTACTTCTAGCTCTGTCCCATAGTGTTTTACCATCAATTTTTCTAAGTATTTTCATTAATTTTGTGAAGAGGAGGATGCCAATGTAACTGGATCCTCTTTAAAAAGTATTGTTAAATTTAAAAATTATTTAAAGGTCATTCACTATAATGCTCAATCATTACATAACTCTTTTCTAGATTTTGAAGTTCTTCTCAATGATATTTCAGCTGAGTGTCTTAATGAGCACTGGCTTTTACTTGGTGAGCTACATACTGTCAATATTAAAGGCTATCGTAGGGTTTCTGGATTTTGCAGGACAGTCAATTCTCATGGAGGTGTAGGTATATATATTACGAATAATGTAAGTTTTAATCATTTGAATCTTGGAAATCTCTCTTCTGAACAGCATTGTGAGATTACAGGTATTTTTTTTTTAAATAAATCTAGTGTGCAGCTTATTACTGTCTATTGTACTCCAGACAGTGATGTAGAAAAATTCTTTACCATTATGGCTAAAGCTCTTAAAAAAACTAATGTTCATAAACCTGTTATAATTACGGGTGACTTTAATGTCCATTTTAATGATACAGACATCAGAGCTTTAAAACTGTATTTTTTTTTAGATCTTACAATATTACAAAAAAAGTTAAATTTAATACTTGACATAATAGATGTCTTGATAATGTTTTCGCAAATATAATAAGGAGGGAAAACGTAAACCCACCAATAATTATAGTCTAGATCCCACCAGAAAAAAAATCCAATTATAACATATCAAATAAATATTCTGGAAGGTACAGGTGGAAGAAAATATAAGAAAGATATAACATAAAATTAAAAATATGACATACTAGAAATTGGAAAGAAAACTGAAAAAAAAGTTGATCTAACATCATTCATTGCAAATAAACTTGTAGTGGTTAGCAAGTGCGTTAGCATTAATAAGTAAATGCTGACTTTGTAATTTAAGCACATATATAGTTATTAATAATGGGTATACTTACTTGTTCCTCTGCAAATAGTTCATTAGCCCCTGATGCTTGATGACCCCCGGCACCATAATCATTTGACAAATCAACAAAACCACTTGTGTTACCTCTAACCCTGGCTGCCTCTGTTCCAAGTCCATATCTGGACCAATTAATATCCTTATTTCTTAGGTCTCTGCTCGCGTTCCCGTTTTCCATTTCTTAACCTAAAGACACACTTTTATAAGACAAACATGTGCCTAGTATACATATATATATATATATATATATATATATATATATATATATATATATATATATATATGTAAATACTTTTTTCTTTTTGGGTGTGGTAGTCAATAAAAAATAGAGCTTTGCTAAGGCGTACTATTTATTCTGAAATCCGAGCTTTCGGTGGTTATTTGCCACCTTTATCAAGGTCTACAATGAAAATTACTGTGTTATAACATGTTATAACATTAGGCTGATGTAATATAAAAGTTATAAAAACTTACCAGAAAGTAAGATTCATAGCATATAAAACACAACGTTAAATAACATAATGTGATCTGAATTATTGAAGGCATTAAAAATTTTAAAAACTTTAAAATACTTAAAAATTAAAGAACACTTTTTTACTTTTTAAACTTTGTAACATGTTCTTTAATTTTTAAGTATTTTAAAGTTTTTAAAATTTTTAATGCCTTCAATAATTCAGATCACATTATGTTATTTAACGTTGTGTTTTATATGCTATGAATCTTACTTTCTGGTAAGTTTTTATAACTTTTATATTACATCAGCCTAATGTTATAACACAGTAATTTTCATTGTAGACCTTGATAAAGGTGGCAAATAACCACCGAAAGCTCGGATTTCAGAATAAATAGTACGCCTTAGCAAAGCTCTATTTTTTATTGACTACCACACCCAAAAAGAAAAAAGTATTTACATATATATATATATATATATATATATATATATATATATATATATATATATATATACAACATATAGACAACATATAGATATAGATATACAACAAAAGTATGGAATAAATTCATTATTTCAGAAATAGATGACTTAAAAAAATCTTAAAACACCTAAATTTTAACTGCTATATTTTTTATTTGGAATATCTTCAATGGTTGAATTGCAGAGGTTTGATTGGTCAATAATTGGCAAATTAAAGTCGTCAATTACTTCATTGATTGACTAGAATATGTTTTGTTTTTATTCTTTTTTAAAAGCATCATCAGTTCTCTACAAATAGCGATGATCTTGGAATATAAGTAAACAACTAACAGGATTCATACTTACAAAAACAATTTGTAGGTTTTTTTAGATGTTATAAAAACTCTATGATAACTTAACATTAAAACTTAACTAAACGAGAAGAAAAAACAAAAAACACAAGAAAAATTGTATATGAGCATTATTGTTCATTTATATTATTTGTTGGAGATTTTTTTATTTTGACTGATGGCTTCATTTGGATGTTAGTTTAAGCTCTTTCAAGGGTCAAACCACACTAATCTTTTCAATTGTATTCTATCCGTTGTAGAATGTCATTATAAAAATGGACCAATTTGGAGTATTACTTAGTTAAAAAAAAAGGGGAAGATTAGTCAACTATACAGCAAATAATACATATTATGTTAAGAGGTATACATGAAAAATGTGCTGAATATGTATAACATATCAATTTCCAACTTGTATATTGATTTCAGATTTCAAACAGGCATTTGATGGAGTGGATGGACAAAAAATGTTAAAACAACTATCTATGTTAGAAATACTGTAAAAGTTAAACTTATACAAATGAATTTAGAGGATTTCAAGGCCCTGGTGAGAATAGATGGAGATACGACAGAGGCATTTGATATTGAAAATGGAGTTAGACAAGGAGATGCCTTATCAACAACACTTTTTAATCTAACTTTGGAAGCTATTATCAGAAAACTATATATATAAACTGTATTGAAAGGAAAACAAAATATAAATAGAGTGCACAAAGTGAAATTGACATAAGAATCTGTCAAATACAACCACAGATTCTTAGCAGTAATACATGTTTTTATGCACAAAAAAACTTAATGAAAAGTAAGTTACTGAATCGTGAATCCTGAAATAACAAGCAAATGGGACAAGGGAAAGGTCCCATAAAAGGTGGATAGATGATGTAGAGGAAGATCTTAAAACCATGAACATCTGGCAGTGGAGAGGGAAAGTATATGACAGGCCAGAATGGAAGAACTTTGTTAAGCAGGTTAAGACCCACAAAGGGTTGTAGTGGCATTAAAAGAAGAAGAAGAGTACACAAGAGATAAAGATAAACACCTTGTACATTTCTTTTAACACCTACCAATAACGAAATACCATATGAAATCTGAAAAACATTTGTGATTACTTTGTGGGGGAGATAAATAAGATTAAATCCAAAATGTTAAACTTTTGATTAATTGATAGAACAATATGCTTCTATGGAGGCCTAAAATGTTAAATATTGTTAACCATTAATAGGAAATTTATTATATTTATGATCAGTAATCCAATATTAGTTATATAAACAAAAGAAAACTGATAAAACTTAATTGTTGTAATCTATTCTAAATAAGTATACATTTGTTAAAATTTGTTGTACACAACAGTATACAATGTACTGAGTAAGAATATATAAAAATACTCTGTAGTTCTTTAAAATCAAGTTAGTTACATACATTATAAAAATTTGACATTTACTCACCTTCTTAAATTGTAGATGATTCATATAAAAATATCAAAATATGTTAAGATATGTAAGGATTTTAGTTCCTCATTGGTTCTCCTACACTTATCTATAAATATTCTTATCTAAAAGTCTTGAAAAGGATCCTTTATAATTAGACATGCATTATTTGTTTGTATAAATTATATGGCATTAAAAACCGATTATACCTTACATTGTTGGACAACTCAACAAATTTCTACTACAGTTTCAGTGCTCAAGTCCTAAATGTCACAACAAAACAGTCTTTAAATATCAGGGTCACTTGTAATGTCAGATGTCAGTTTGCAATCATCATCCTAGGGGTGAACCATAAATTTCTAGGAACGACTAAGAACATAGTACATACATGGGGTATGTATTGTGGACTAAGAAGATGAGAGGCTACTGGAGGATCATATATCATTGGAGGATCATAATCTGCACCACCCACAGATGTAGAAATAATAAGCTATATAGACGTAGAACTGGAGGAATATAAGTGAAGCCGATTTTTTCAGGTGAACACAAATAAGGGGGCAAAACCTTAGTCAATAGAAACACGTGTGCCGTGAGTCGTGCAGTGATGATGTCTTGTGTGACGGACTTTATACACGTAAAGTTCCATTATGTTTATCTAAAACTAAAACCAAATCATGCTTTCAGGAATACCTCAATAAACTGTAAGTTCGCTTTTTTATATTATATAGTCTATATTAGTTTTATGTCTGTAAACTTGTACGAACTGTTACGGTGGTACAAAGTCTCTGTACCACCCCATAACTAAAAAAATAAAAACTTTTGCAACAAAAACATCAGATTGTGTTTTTATTCATCAATTTGTGAAAAGTATTGTTGCTCCATTAGGGCATTTTTTGCCTGAATACTTTGGACATAGTACATACCCCCCTAGTAAGGTAACTCCCATATAAAGTTTGGGAAGAGAGTTTCTAGCGCCAAATACGGACGGGCCGAAACTAATTTCATTTGGCGGCAAATTCAAAACGTAAATTCAGAATTTTAGGCGGCAAATTCAAAAAATATGCTTTGAATTTTAGGCGCCAAAATTCAAAAAGTATGTTTGTAATGGAAAGTAAATATAGTCATAAAATAAGAAATAAAAACTTATTTTATGTTATAAAATATATTCTCTCTGTCCAAAAATATAGTATACACCTACACATTTTTATATATATAAATGTATAACATAATATCTGATACAGAGAGAGTATATATTATGGTACAAGAAAGTTTTTATTTAATATTTTATGATTATATCTGTTTTCCATTACATTAACAAACCAAAGTCCCAAAAATAACAAAATAAAACACAAACATCCTGACACTTGTTTATTTGTATAATTTTCTTTGGTAAAGTATTGGCAACATATCCTCCTCCTCCTCCTTACTTAAGCCCTTGTTAAGGTGTGGGTGGAGAAACTCTAAATATTATTAATTTGCTGTCTCCATTGGCTGCAATTCTGTACCAGATGAACAACTTCGTGAAGGGATTTTTCCACCAATCTTCATTTAATCTTCCCATCATGTTGTGAGATCGTCATTTTGATATACAAATATAGATACCTCTATATTTATTAGCAATGGTTTGTAGTAAGTTCCATACCTTCTAAAATACTTTTCCTTAAAGTACCATATGTAGATAATAAAGTGTAAACCCTAGCATGTCTGGGATCTTGCTCTTCACAATGATCACAAATTGGCATGTGACTCAATGTAACTGTTACTCAGAAGTAGAAGATCCACGAAAATCTAAAATAATGAAATATTATTAAAATTAAGAATGTATTGACTTTTTTTATAAAATAAGGCCAATTTTAGGAATGCAATTAAAAGAGTCATAAGAGTTTTTTTTTATAAAATAAGGCAATGTTTAGGAATGCAGTGATAAGAGTTAAGAGTTTTAATGAGTTTAAAATCTATACAGTATATAAATATAAGATTAATGTTAGTTAAGATTGAAAGGTAAATTAACTACAAAAACAAAATAGTATCAAGTTTGTATTTACTAAAAGTTTGGTATAATTAGGTGCTGTTCTTACCTAATGCTTGTAAAAATAAACTCCTAATCCTCAGAATGTTTAATAGCCGTTTGTCCAACTTTCACCCATCAACAAAAAATATTCTTTGGAAATACTATACCATTTTGGTAATGTACCTTCTTCTTTAGCAGGTCTATTAGATATATAAAATTTGATGTATACTGTTTTTATCGTCTATTTCTAAAATTTGGGATACGACAATTGTAAACAGTGTGGTGTAGAATTGTTTATTTTCCTCATGATAAATGTCAACCATTATGAACAAGTCCATTTCATTTTTTGGGTTTGGAAAACGAAATCGACTGTTTGTGTAGTCGGTACAACCATGAACATAACATTTTTTGGCAGACCTATAGAACAAGTGCCGAGGAACTGACAGAAGATTAGTGACAGATCTGTATTTGGCAGTGTTGCCATATCACAAATAAATCCTGAAAGAGCATGCGATATAATATTAATTAATGTTCAACATTCTTTTTAAGTTTTTGAAAGAAGTTTAATTAATTTAAATTTAATTTATTATAATTTAAATTAACTTTAATTTTTTAAGCTTTTAAATTCTTAAGTTATTAAAGTTAATTAAACATCTTTACCGATATATTTTTCTTTGTTATTCACATTTTAAGGATTAAATTGTCAATAATGATAATTTAATCTCTGCAACGTAAATTTGAAAAAATATCGATCTGAACAATCTCCAGTAACTAGCTAATACATTAACAAAACGATATTCAGGTACCATTTCACCCCAAAATTATAAGAAAATAGTCATAAAAATCATAAAATTGAAAGCTGCTAAACATCTGTTGCAATCTGGCAACTACTGTTTTCAAAATTTTGACAGTATTGCCAAGTTTTTTTACTAATCTACCAAAGGCCAATTATAATTTTTTTTTCTAATAACCAACTGCAACTAATATCAAAAGAAACAAATATTCATTCGTTCGTGTTTCATATAAATTCAAAAATTTTTAAAAAATACCCGATTTCATAAAATAATATAATAAAAATGTACTGTTTCAAAGCATATTTGAGGCATAAAACATACACATAATAAGGACATGGCAATACCGCAGACACAAATTTGACATGACGTTTATGTCAAATTCTCGGCACTTATTCTATAGATTTGCCCATTTTTTTACCTTTTATTCTATTTTGTTCCATTTCAACGATGGTAAAACACAATTTTTACAATAAAGATGATAATAACCAAACACAAATCTGAATTTGCAATATGGCGTCCCAATCTAAATTAAATTTCGCCACCGCACATGCGTCTCCCGCTATATTATACCTTCCACCTAACGTGACTAGTAGCGCCGCCGCCATTAAGAACGGATGGGCCCATGCAAAACACTATCCCCTCCCGTCCTATTCTACTTACACTACTATTGTGGTATGTATTGTGTACTTTGGACTTCTTCAATATTGGTGCAATGAACATAACCTGGCATCCAGCTATATGTTTGTGTGACACGTGTTTGACAAAATGCTTCACATTTGTATTTAGGTATATACTTAGGTAAATGTGAAGTGTTTTACTTCTGTAAAATGTAAAAATGTACACGCCACAGCCACAATTTTTGAATTCATATTAAAAAGCATTCATAAAATAGTATTTTTTATTTTAAATATAGCTAAATACTTTTGTTTAACCTAATTTTTTTTTCATTTAACTTTACTTTATTCTGTAATTTATAAAGTTTCTAAACTATTAATTTTTAAGCATAATTTTAATGGTTTTTATTATATAAGTATTTTTAAATGTAGAAATGCAAGATATAATTTTATTTTATAATATTTATAGGTATAATTTTAATGAATTATATACCTATGTATAGGTAAAAATATATATATTTTTCACATTTTTGTTTAATTATATATGTATTTTTCAATTTTACATTTTCATTTCATATAATATAAATCTTGCCAATAATTTTATATGTGAGAGTGGGAAATATTTGAGTATATGGCAACACTGACGTATATTAAGCTTACATTTAACGTCAAACATATCAACGAGGTTATGTTCATTGCACCAATTTTTTGTTGAACAATAGAAAATGATAATAAAAAAAATTGTTATCACCTTATGAGAAAGTTATTCTCAATGCTATTTTCCCGATGATAAGAATCAGATGACGAGGATCTCTAATCCCCCATGGGTACAAAAATCTGATTTATTTAATAATATCTACTACTCATTAATGCTATTATTGTTTCAGAATTTTCATTTTATACTTTTTAAATTAAAGAAAATAATTTTGTCGATCCTGTTTCTGTTTATTAAAAATAATTATTTTGAAAGGTGAAATACTTATCAGTAATGAAGTTTTGGAAATATGATCTGTTAAAATGAAAGTCTTAATTGTATTGTAATGCCATAGTTATGTATTGTTTGGTAAATGTTATATTTTGATTTGATCAAATCATTATTTTTGTTTTCCTTCTATTGTATACAATGTTTTCAGTTTATATTTATTCATTAAAGATATCAGTTTATATTTATGGTCCCTTTTTCCAGTTAGCATTACCATACTTTTATTTGTGAATTGTGAGATAAACGATTATCAAATGGGTACCAATTTGTGTATAAGCCAGTGAACTTTGGTAAACATTTGCTGCTTTTTAAGTCAATTTTTCCAATTCATGGTTTGAAAAAGTGTGTTCTTAATGTCATATAGAGTGTGCCTCGTAGATGTTTGTCTTTTATTTACTTTCAAATGGTATCCACAATTGTTATGAAGATTATAAGTTTTTGTTTTGTGCCATTTGCTTGAATAACAGTATGCAAGTTCTCCTGTAAATGTTGTTTTATGGATTGATATCCTTCTGTTGCATCATATCATATTTTTTTTGTTTACACTGGCTCAATTTTTTTTAACATGAGTTTCATTTTACTAATAAGTGGATTATGATCTGACTTGATGTAAGGTTGCTGGGTATATTTTGATTTATT